GCAGTGGGTTAATTAATCATCATGGCCACCCTATACGATAGTCACGTAATGAGAACGGTGAGAACATTGAAGTAAAGAGAAGTGTGGTTAGTAATTCTAAATCTACTCCAGAAATTCAGCCAAGGCAGGTTGACTTGGCAACTAGCACTCTCTATATAAAAAGAAACAAATAAAATAAGTTTTCTTTTAAAAATTAGATTTAAGTATAATATACACCTACTCTGGGAACCCCGTACAGGGTTGTTTTGAGTCATAACCTACTCAATGGCAATTAACAACAACAACAGCAACATATACACAGAAATGCAGAAATAAGAACTGTTTAGCTCAATGAATGCTCACAGAGTATATTCATTCGTGTAACCAAATAACAGACACTGACTGTACCCCATAAGACCCCTCCCAGTCACTAACCCCAAAGATAGCTCCTATCTGATTTCTAAAATCCAGAAATTTTGAATTTTATATAAATGGAACCAACCACCATATAGTAGTAATCTGCTCAGCATTCTGTTTGAGTGAGTCATCCATGATGTTGGGTAGTTAAAGTTCATTCATTGTCTTTTGTAGTAGTTCATGGTTAAAATACAGAATTGCCCATTTTATTCTTGACTCCAATTTTTGACCCTTTTGGATAACACTGCTATGCATATTTCTTTCAGCATATATATTCACACACACGCTCACACACGTTTATGTTGGGTTTATACCTAGGAGTGGAATTGTTGATTGCTTCCAAGGGGTTGTACAAATTTGTTTTCTTACCAGCATTTTATGAGATCTCCTTACACCACATCCTTGCCAACCTTTGGTATTGTATTTTAACTTTTAACCAATCTGGTAGGCGTGGTGTTGTTGTTGGTAGGTTCCATGAAGTTGATTCTGACACATAGCGCCCCTGTATAGGGTTTCCGAGGAGCAGCTGGTGGGTTTGAGGTTAGCAGTCCAGTGCTTATCCGATAGCACCACACCAGGACTCTGCTAGGTGGATAGTGGTATCCTATTATGTTTTTTTATGTATATTTCTTAAATCAGGTATAGCTAGAAGCAGCACTCTTAACTTTCAACACTTAAAACCATCTTATGAGGTAGGTATGGTTATCATTCCCATGCCATAGGTGAAGAAAGAGAAACACATTCAGCCAGTTTCTTTCCTCTCCTGCGACTGACTTGCCTTCCCTTGTTGGGGAGGGGCCAGTCACCACCAAACTTGAGCGACCCCTCAGACCAAGGCTGGGGTGAAGTGGGCTGGGCTGAAGAGGAGAGAGGGGATGAATCATAAAGGCTGGTGTGAGGGACCAGAGATCCAGACTCTGTGTATGGACTGATGAGGTTAGAATGAGAGGCATGGGCAATGCAGAAAGCATGACCACTTAAAGGGGAAGCATGCAACTGGGGAATAAAGGTCGCTGTGTGTGTGTCAATGTTGATTCCTGGCTCCGCTTTCTGGGGTCTTATTGAGTCTGAGAACCTCTCTGTGTAGTCTTTCTGAGCTTAGAGGCCTTTTTGGGGTCTCTCTGGGTTTGGAGGTCCCTTGGTATAATGTCTTTGGGTTTCTTAAGGGGTAGAGAGCACTCTGTTCCCCAGGGCTTGTGGAGCAGGAGGCAGGACTGGAGACGTTCCAGGGAGGGTGAGGAAAGGCTGCGGTTTTGCTCTGACTCTGACCTGCTGATCTGTCAGGCCAAGAGGCACCTTGGCAATCAGGTACTCTGCTCTTTGATCCAGCAGGTGTCAGGGGGAAGATGAGGTAAACAATCTCCCCACCCTGACATCTGACTCTCTTTGCTCCATGTCTCTGATGTGGCTCTACTTTTGCAGGTCCTCTGGATAGATTCTCCAAGTTGGTACCTTCTTTTTCTCCCCCAACCCCCACCTTGCATCATGAGCCCATGACTGACTGGTGATGGCTCTGGCAGGAGAGGCAGCGTACTGCAGGGGCCAAGTCCATAGCAGGCAGAAAATATATTTGGCACAAGTCTAGCTGTGTGTCCTTGGGTGAGTCTCATCACCTCTGCATGGTGACAGAGCTCTCCCAGGGACCAGCACCATTCACCTGGCTGTCTCCTATGCAGGCTTCAGTTCATGAGGGAAAGGAGATGTGTTGGAGGGAAGGAACCACACCAGCATGGAGCTTTGGACCACGCAGACACACATCAGGGGTTTCCAGGCTGCCTGAGCTGGAAAGGCCTTTACAATTCAATGTATCTCCCCCATTGTACAGATGGCAAAACTGGACCCCAGATAGCTTAAATAACTCGAGGTTCTCCAGTGAATACAGCAGCAGGGTTGGGATTTGGATTGAGGTCAGGCTGAAGCATGGGAGACTATTGGCTGGAGGTCACTTCCTCAGTGACCTTGGGTGGATGTAGAACTGAATTTTGTGTTTCTGGGTCCCCACTAAACTCACTACCATGAAGCCGGTTCCAACTCATGTAATCCTATCTATAAAGGGTTTCCGAGCCTATGAATATTTATGGAAACAGACAGTCACATCTTTCTCCTGAAGAGTGGCTGGTGGGTTCAAATTATCTACATGCAGTCAGCAGCTCAGCATTTAACTCATTGTGCCATCTGGACTCAGACCCATATAAATGTCTTCCAGGGAACCTGCATAATACTTGAACTTACTTTACTGACATCCTTGTCTCCCCTCAGCTAGGCACTGAGCTCCTGGAAGGCCTTCCTTCACTTATCCAGCGACATCATTCCGGGGGGGGGGGGGCAGAATTTGATGGGATTGCCTCGTTTTTCTGGGTCTCACACCTGTTCTGCCTTTGACAAGGTGCTGTCTTATTACTTTTCTCTTGCTCTTTATTAATGGAAACAATTTGAGTTTCCTGTTTCTGACAGGTTTCTGCCTTACACAGGTCCCAGCTTTCACAGACTTTACTGTTCAGTAAATGCACGTTGCATGTGGAAGATCTTCTTCCTTACCCTGTCTCCCTGGAATTATCTCAGACAAAGAGAAGAGGGAGGTAAAGGACCCCAGAGACTGGGGGAGAGGCTGGGGTAGAGAGGTGGGCCTCAGTTTCACCTGGAAATCTGTCCAGACTTCCCACACTGACTGACACTTGCCCTAGTCAGATCTCTCAGCCTGCTGCATCCCCTGCTTGCCTTCCTTCCCAGGTTTACTGTTTGGGGGACAAGTCTGGCTTTGGAATCAGATCCTTGTCCCATTTTATTTGCAAGGGCTTCATTTTATAGTTGGAGACATTCAAGCTCCGGGAAGGCACTGTCCAAGTTTGCTCGATGAGTTGGTGACAAACGATGATGAAGGAGGGAGGCAAGTTTCTGAATCCGGGGAAAGCTAGGCTTCCCCCAGGGACTGCTTCAAGGCAGATGGGACTAACGGATTCCAGTCTATCTGTGAAATGGGATGGAGAGACTCCCAGAATCCAGTCCCTTTGGCTCTCTGCAATCTTGATGGTTGCCAGTAGGTGCCGTCAGTTTGCAATTTAAAATTTTTGTCTGCAGAGGTCCTGGTCTCCCTCCAATCTCTCCATCAATCTGCACTTTTGGAGAGGATCAGGGGGGGTGGCCCAGCCCTGTGAGGCTGAAAGATTCCTATTCAGGGAGAGGAAGTAGGAAGGGGTCTTACTTCATTCAGCCTGGCCGTACTGTAGTTTTCTGTTGTTGTTGTTAAGTGCTATAGAGTCCATTCCGACTCATAGCAACCCACTCTTGGGCTTCCAAGGAGTGGCTGGCGAGTTTGAACCACTAATCTTGTGATTCAAACCAACCTTGTTGTTCTGCACTTATCCTACAACACCACCAAACAAACAAAAAAACCTCCATATTGGGGTGCCAATTAAAGCTGAACAGGTACCCTTACTGTGAATTCAGCTCTAGGATAGCAGAAGCCTTTATTGGGGAGGAAGAGTGAGTATTAGCAGGACTTGGGAGGAAGTTGGAAGAAAGCCCTTCAGAAAAATCAGTCATTGGAAACCCTGGAGTTCTACTCTGACACTCATTGGCAATTGCTTTTGAGAAGGAATCTAGGAGATGGGTCCCAGCTCAAAAGGCTATCTAGGGCCCCTCCCAATCCCAGCAGCAATGAAGGTGGAATATTAAGGTATAAAGACACAAGAGGGATCACACAGAAGGGCCAGCCAGTCCCAACACCAGCTCAAGAAGTCACACCATTGGAATTGGAAAAAGTCACCTCTTCCTCAAACTCTTGGCTGCCATCTGCTGGAAAACTGCAGCCATGACTAGCTCAGTCTCCAACCACAAGAGGAAGCTGCTCCCTGGAGTTGTCAGCGTGCAACTGGTACACGGAATGGCCAGCTTCCTGAGCCAATGTCGCTCCGGGAGTGGGTCTGGGCAGTAGACAAACAACCAGGAAGGAGGGAGGGGTCTGACACCTCCCTCCTAGGCAACTGGGTCCATTCTATCTTAGGGAAGACAGGGTGTGGGCCAGGACTTTAGTTCTGGGGAGATGGAGATGGTTTGGGAGGGGAAGTGGAAAGAAATGGTGAAGTACAGCTAAGTCTATTAACATCTTAGGGTCCCTAGGCTTTCAGTACCCCTCGCTGTGGGCCTGTAGTCTTCTCCCTGACTTTTCCCCTCGCGGTCTCCAGGGGTCGAGCCTGGAAGAACAGGGGTCGAGCGGAGAAGACTCTGAGGAAAGACTGAGTTAGCCAAGCCAGGAGTCAGCACTAGGTCTCGTTCTCAGCGCAGGGAACTGTGGGTGGCTTGGTGGAGGCCAGGAAGAGTCCTCTAAGGTCGGGGAAGGGGGCCAAGGATCAATCGGTTCGCTTCCCTCTCTCTTCCTTCCCGGGCTCCGGTTAAGAGCCACTCTGGGCGTTCGACACGGCTTCCAAATTGCGCCGCTTCCTTCTTCGGCAATAAGGGACTTTCAGATATTGTAGCTGCGGCCTTGGCGCCGGGGACTCAGGACAGCACCCCCTCCCCCTAACGGCCGCCTCTTCTCTCCCCCTCCCTTTCCAGGACTCCCCCACCTCTGGGAAGGCGCTGGGGGTGTGGCCAGGGGCCGGTATAAAGTCCGGGGGAGCTGGTCTCGGGCAGCAGCTCAACCCCTTGCCCCCCCCACCCCGCCGCCTGCCGCCTTGACCGAGCCGAGGATGCGGCGCAGCGCTTCGTCCGCCAGGCTAGCTACGCTCCAGCCCGCCTGCTAACTTCCTAGGCTGTCCCTGTCCACCAGCCGGGCCGCCCAGTCTCCCCGCGCCCTCCAGGTCGGGTCCTCCAGGCGCGCCGGGCGCGGCCGCTGAGTATCCCCCTGTCGCCAGCTCGCGTGCCCGCACCCCTCACCCGCACCCCGCGTCCGCACCCGATCCTCGCCCGACCATGCTGCCCCTCTGCCTCGTGGCCGCCCTGCTGCTGGCCGCCGGGCCCGGGCCGAGCCTGGGCGACGAAGCCATTCACTGCCCGCCCTGTTCCGAGGAGAAGCTGGCGCGCTGCCGCCCCCCCGTGGGTTGCGAGGAGCTGGTGCGGGAGCCCGGCTGCGGCTGTTGCGCCACTTGTGCCCTGGGCAAGGGGATGCCCTGCGGGGTATACACCCCCCGCTGCGGCTCGGGCCTGCGCTGCTACCCGCCCCGCGGGGTGGAGAAACCCCTGCACACGCTGATGCATGGGCAAGGCATGTGCATGGAGCTAGCAGAGATCGAGGCCATCCAGGAAAGTCTGCAGCCCTCCGGTAAGGGCCCCCTGCCCACCCAGGCCTACCATAGTGCGCTCCCCTTCCAGTAGTCTTTTCCCCATTCCGCGGCTGGCCTGGGAGACCCTTTCAAATCCCTTGTGAGTTGAGGGGAAGGGTAGGTACGAGTGGTATGGGGCAGGCTCAGTCAAAGAAACTACCACCGAGTGTCTAGCAGCCTGTTGCCACCCTCCAGTGGGACTCTGTCCCATCCTTTCATCTCAAACATCCCAGGGATGCTTGTTTGAGAAGCAAGTGTGGAGTCAGTGGTAGACTTGGCTGCTGGTGCCAGAGTGGAGAATTAAGTGACCTGGTCCAGCCAGATGCCTGCAGGTCAGTGGTCTAGGGCCAGACAACTAGAGGATGGGGTGGCAGGATGGCAGCCTTCTGTTCCCAATGCAAGGACCTCCTCGCTCTGACTGCAGGGAAAACCTCAGAGACCTGAGGAGCTAGGGCCTGACTCTTGACATTGAGGTAGGGTAGAGTGGGCTGTGCAAATTAAAAGCACCGCAGAGTGGCCTTTCTCCAAAGTGCTGGGAAGACAGGGGTCTTTTTGCCCGACCTGGACACCTCTGCCTTTCTGGTGGCAGGTGCAATTCTAGGCGGCAGAAGAGAAGCTAGTCTTGGCTCCCAGCTCATAGCTGTAGAATAGAGAAGAGGGGAAACAAAGATAAAGACAGAGAGAGAGAGGGGCAGGGAGAGAGAGTGGGATATGGGGAGGGAGTGGCAGAGAGGGAGTCAAAGGGAAAGGGAGTGGGGAGAGAGATAGAGGTAGAGAGAGAGAGAAAGAGAGAGAGAGAAGGTTCTTTGATCTAATCTTATTCTTACATGTTATCTTTTTCCATTTCTCAGCGAACCTCTTAATCTCTCTTTATAATCTTTCTCAGTCTCTTTCCTTTTTTCTTTTATTGTTTTGTTCTTTCTTGTTTTGTCTCTCAACCTCTAGTTGCACTAGTAATATTCTCAAATTCTCTTCTCCTCAATATCTTCATTCCATTTTCAGCTGATTTCTTTCGCCATCTTATTCTGTTTCTGTTTTTGTCCCCCCTGCTTCTCTCACTTTTCTGTCTCTGTGTCTCTGTCACTATTTTTCTTTCTGTTTTAGTTTGTCTCTTTCTGTTACTTTCAGAATCTTTCCCACTGTCTGCCTTTCTGTGTCTCCACCTCTGTTTCTTGTCCTCCCTCTGTCTCTGTTTTGCTCTCTCCGGTGCCTGTCTTGTGTCTGTCTCTTTTCCTGGGGCTTGAAGCTTCCATTGTTACAGGCCGGATGCTGGGACTCTGGCCCAAGCTTCCTGCCCTGGGTCCCAGACCGCTCCACTTCCTCAATCCTCTGCAGCTTGTTAGCTGGAGGAGAGCAGGATGCAGGGAAAACAGGAAGGAGGTAGACCCCAGGGGTCTGGGCCCCGGGCCTCTTTGCCCTTTCTGCCCTTCCTGCCCCTGGGATGGGTCAGCAGAAAACCTTCTAGGAGAAATGCCAGCCTGGCACAGCATATCTAGGAGGGGTCTTTTGAGGGAGTAAGTTGCTGATCTTGGGGCAGAGGTATCAGTGCCAGTGGGAGAGGAGGGTCTCTGGTACCAGACCAAACTGGGAGGGAGGGAGGAAGGGAGGGAGGAAAGGAGGGAGGGTTGGACTTACTTTCCCCGTGTATCTCCAGTCTCCACCAGATAAGGATGGCTGCTAGACTCCTTTTCTCTTACCAACTTAAACCTGGGTCAGAAGAGCCCTCAGAGGGTCTTGGGCACCCCTTCGTCCCCAGCTGTACCCAGGAGTACCCCATCCTGCAGTGGAGGAAAATCTGATTCCCAGAAGTTTTTGGAGGGCATGACACCCACAGTTTGTGATTGCCCCGTGGACACCATGTACACCTAGAAATGCAGGTGTCTTTAGGTTCTCTTAGGATTACAAAGCCCAGATCTCTAACAACACCTCCTTCCTTCCTTGCCTTGCCCTCCACTCATGCAGTGGATGTAGATGGGTGGGGCACGGAGGGAGCCTGATGGAACCTGGAGGAGCTAGGTAGCAACGGTGCAAGATCTGCCCATGCACTCTTCTTGCCTGGTCAGCACCAGAGTGTTCCCTGCCACAGCCTGGGCCACATAGCGCCCCCTAGACCTTGCAGGGTCTCTGCCCTATCCCTTCTGTCCTCTTTAGCCTTTCATTGTTGACAGGCCACTGTCCCTCCTAGCCCAAGATTACGCTCTCCTGTTGAGGGAATAGTTTGGCAGAGGGTAGCATGCTCTTTCACGATTGTTTTGAAGCTGGTGATGTGTGGAAAGGTAGCCACTTGGCGTCTCTCCTCCTTTGGCCCAGTATGATCCAGCTGCCTCTGATTTGCCTCAGTGGCAGGTCCGTCCTTTCTCTCTCCAGCTCATACCACCATCAATGGCCCTGATATCCCCAGCATCCTAAGCCAGTTGCCAGATTGAGGATTAACACAGTTGAGTCAGTGGAGGTGAGGGGGGTGGAACGTGTGTGTCAGAATTCCACAAATTCTGCATCAGTGGTGCTGACCCTCAACTCATGGAACCTCAGAGTGGACATAGAGCTTGGACTAGGGAGTTCCTTAACTGTGGTCTGGGTCCCTCTGGGACAGGTTTAGGAAACATACAGGTCAGGTTAATTTTTAGTCGGCGCAGCAAATATTGTCTCCCCTACTTCACTGCTGGGAATCTAGTCATGTCATGGGAACAAGGCCTTCCCAGAAATTCTGTACCCTGGGGGAGGCTGGAAGGAGGAGCATGGCTGCTTGACATTTTTCCCTTTAGTATTGGCGGAGCCAGAATTTTTGATACCTTGAATATGAGGAGGCTTTCCCTTCAAAGACATAGGAACTGCAGAGAGAAGTCTTGCCGCCCTCTGCTCCATCCAGTCCAGTTTCATTTCTCAACTGTAAAATGGGATGATAGCAGGACCTGCTTCACAGGGTTGGTGTGTCTGGCCTGGATGGAGTAGGAGCTCAGTAAGTGAGAGCAATGATGAGGACCACGGGCCATTCAGAGGAGCTGGGAAAGGTGGGTGGACTTTGGTGACTTTTGATATGGTAAGCATGGGAAAGACAGGCTTGCTTTCCTTCTCTGACTCCTTAATCTGAGGCCAGCAACATGGTGTATCAGTGAGGGGGACACCCTTTGGGCCTGCTCTTCAACACAGGTGATTTTGGTTTCTCCAGCCAGAGTCCAAGGAAAAAGGAAAAGACCTTTCTTGCTGGACAGATGGGTGACCCCTAGATTGTGGCTGAAAAGTCTGTGTCTGGGTGGCTGGGCCCACCTAACTCATAGCCTTAACCTGGTGTTTCTGGAGAGCAGGGCTGGGGTTGAGGAGGAACCATGGGGAAAAGATTAGGCAGCAGAAAAGATGAAAATTCTCCAGTTTTTTTAACCAGGAATTTTGCAACTGGTGTTGCAAAGCTATGAAGCCTCGTCTCTCTTTGGCCTCCTTCCCTTTCTCTGTTGTTGCCCTGGTGGCTGGCTATCACTTGGTCTAGCTCAAAGCAAGGGTCTGGGAGAAATGACCTGGTCTATCTTAGAAGCCCTTTGACTCCTGGTGTGGCGCTGTAGGATCAGCACTGGACTGCGAACCACGAGGTCTGCAGTTCAAACCTACCAGATGCTTCTCAGAAACCCTATACAGGGTCACTATGAGTCAGAACCGACTTGATGGCACTTAACAACAACAACAACCTTGGAAGCCCACCTCTCAAACAAGGTGTTCAGAAGTTGCATCTTCCAGGGGGACAGGCTCAACTCCAACTCCTGCTCAGAAAGCCCACAGGGGTTGGGATTTTTTCCAGAGGGCACTGCCTGGGTGAGTAGCACCAGGTGACTGCTACAGGGTAGCAGCAAGTGTTCAGCCAGCTGTGGAGGAGGAAAGTTAACATTTTTAAGTGACTCAAGGCTATGACCCAAAGAGTGCCAAGGGGTGGATCCTGGGGCGGATCCTCATTCTGCCAGTTAAGTAAGGCTGGGTAAGGAAAAGTTACAGATTAAATGGAACGTCAATAAGGCAGGGTGCAGGGGGACTGGTGAGGTCACTGTGTCCTACCAGGGTCAGTGTGCCTGAGGGTATGAGGGTCTGGATACATGAGTGTTTGTATTTTTGTGCCATTCGAGTCCCAGCCTATCTGAGGGGACTCAGGAGAGCAAGTAAGGCATCCGCTCTCTTTTGCTGATGTGTTTTACTTTAAGGGTAGACACGAGCTAGGGATAAATTGATTTATCTTACTGAGGAAACCAAGAAGGGAAATGTCAGGCAGACTGGCCACTCAGCCTTTCCCAGATAATACAGTTCTACTCTGATACACACAGGAACGTCATGTGTTGGAACTGCAACTGGTAAAACTTGGTAGATAGACATAGGACCATACCAACATAAGAACATAGCTATGCTTCCAGGCTCAACCTGTGACCCACACAACTCGAGGTTTCAGTAAGTGGACCCAAGTTTTCTCTTTCATGTTTACCTTCTAAGTTAGAGAGACTAGGAAGAAAGACCTGGTAATATACTTCCCAAATTCAGCCAGTGTAAATCCTATAGATCAGATGGTTCAATCTCATTGTGCATGGGGTGTGTCCATGAGTTGGGGGCCGACCTGACTGCAACTAACAATGAGCAGTAACTAAGGGGATAAACTCAAATATCCATGAATAATTTCCTGAAAGTTTGCACTCAGACCTGCAACATTGGAAACATTGTTGTGAAAGTCCAGCTCTCATTAGATTCTGGAGGACTGGTGTGGAATGCTAACCATAGGATCAGTGGTTCAAACCCACCAGCCACTCCTCAGAAACCCTATACGCAGTCGCTGTGAGTCGGAACTGGCTTGATGGCACTTACAAACAACAACACGAAGATACCCCTCTGATGCTCCACACGTTTAGGGGGCGTGCTCTACCTCCCAAGGCAGCCCTATTTGCTATAAAATTCTTCTGTCACTCTTTGAACCCAAGAACATTCTGCCCATTTACTCAGAACAAGTGTCACTGTGCAAAGTAGTGTTGTCCTTGTGGTCATTAAAGGAAAGCACAAATACAACAAAACCTCTCCAGAGTCTAAGGATGCCCCTCCTAAAGCTAGTTGTTGGGCTATTGCATACGTGTCCTGGTGGCCTCCTCCAGTCCTCCCCTGGTGAAATGGTGGGGCCTTTGTTCACATCTCGGGCACAGTCCCTGTCGTTACAAGACTTGGTTCTAATTCGTTAGGTTTACAGTTCCCCTTTCTCTCCCTCCTCCAGCCTCTGCCTACATCCCTGAAGCACTGACCTGACCCCCAAGCCTCATGACTTGATGCAAATTGGGGTGTGTGGAAGTTAGTGATCAGCCTGGGTCTTTTTGGCCAGAGAGCCCCCTTGGGAAGGTTTGTAGAAAAGAATGTGAAACCCAGGTCTTTTCTGTGAGGGCCATCTTCCCAGGGTCCCTATGGGACACTTCTGACCTTATGAAGGTTATCCGCCCCTTTTTTTTGCCACCCTCTTTCTGAGAGTTCTTTCTATAGTATCTTCTCCTTGGTTGACCCTTAGGAACTTGATAGCATCTGTGGACTGGATCCTTTCTGAGGGAGGCTGGTAAATATCCAGCAGGAATGATTACATCTATCTGCTCCATATATTCTTTGCCGTTGATTTCTCTTTCTAAGCCAGCTCTCCACTGGTGACAAAGCCTTCTTCCCATTCTTAGTGACTCAATTTTATAAATAACCTGTGATGTGGAATCTTGAGGAAGACTTTCTGAGCATCTAGATTGCTTCTTGCCACATTTCTCTTTATCCACACCCCCAAAACTAGGAGAATAAAAAAGAGAAGTAACCCCCTTAGCTTTGGCCAGGCAGAAAAATACCATTTGACCCAGAGGCGGCTCTGGGACTGTTGCCACGTGTGGAGGAACCTGCTAACTCCTCAGGAAAAATCCTGACGCAAACCAGATGTAACCTCCTGTCTGCCTGCCAACATCTGGAGTGCTGGCAGGGGCTTTGCACTCAGGCCGGCATCGAGCTGCCAAAACCGAGCATTTCAGAGGTGGTTCTGATCTGCAGAGAGGTGTTCCAACCTCTTTCTCCGGCTCAGCCCTGTATTTGGCTTAAGCTGCCTGGAGGGAGGAGTGGCAGTTACAATTCTGGGGCTCCAGATGGTTTTTGTTCAGATACAGCCTTCAGGAGATCCCAGGGAAGGGACGAGCATCCCTCCTCACCCCCAATCCCTAGTGGCTCTGAGCAACAGACATGGAGTCTATGGCAGAGAAACCAGGGAGAGTGTCTTGGTCCCGGGGCGGCACAGAATGAGCCCTCTCACACAGACATACACCCCCACTCCCTCTTCTTTTCTCCTACCCAGCCAATGGGGAGAGCCTGTGGGCCAGATTTCACATCACTCATGGAAACTCTGATGCTGGCCATCTGGAAGGGGGTCAGCAGAGCCGACAGTTCTGGGGATACCCTGGCTAGCTTAGCCAGACACTGAAAAGAGCAGGAAGGAGACAGGAAGAGAGAGCAGACAGAGAAGGGGATGGTGGGAGGAACAGAGTGGAGAGAGGGATGAGATCTAAGATCTGGTGGGGGAGTGGACCTGCCTGCCTTAGACCTCCCTGCAGGGCCCAGGGGACCCTCCTGGCGTCTGGGCAGCTGCAGCTGGTGACTCATCTGAGGGCTGAAATGGATGGGGGGAGGGACGACAAGTCAAGGTCTCCAAGAAGAATATTCTGAGGGGATCCAAAGGAGTGGGGAGGTCATGGGGAGTGCTAGACTGTAGGTTCCCCGAGATAATGGGGTCTGGATGATGGTATAATGCTTTGTCCTTCTCTGGTTGCTGACCTCTCTCCGCCTACAGACAAGGATGAGGGTGACCACCCCAACAACAGCTTCAGCCCTTGCAGTGCCCATGACCGCCGGTGCCTACAGAAGCATTTCGCTAAAATGCGAGACCGGAACACTAATGGGGGCAAGATGAAAATCATCGGGCCTGCCCGGGAGGACGTGCGGCCTGTGGTAAGGACCTCTGACCCATGAGCATGCATGTGCAGAGGGAGGTCTGTGCACTCTTCCACACCTCGCCAGACCCAAACGATGCTTATTCAGCAAACCTGCTTTAGGTATCTATGTGAGATGTTTCTATGTGGATCATCAGGGCCCAGGGAAGGTCTTCATTCCTTTCCTTGGAATTTCTTTCTGCTCGTCAGTTATATACTTTGGTCCAGCTGAACCAAGAGTTAAATACTAACATATTTCTGTACTGGTTGGTAAATCACTCTTGCCAGAGCCCCCTGGTGTTTCTTGGCCCTTCTTTTGGATCCCCCAGCCCCAAATTCCCAGTAACTAAATGGTTAATACTGGCCATAGCAGGGGACCTTAGGAACTTGCTTCAGGGCCTGGCTAATGTCCTTTCTGGTGGGTGTTTCTGAGGGATTCCTCCTGCGTCTTAGTTGTCAGTTGTATTATTTGGTCTATTATGGTCAGAACCAACTTGAGGACACTTAACAACAACAACAACTGGTTTAGAAATCACCCCTTGCCTGTCCTTCTTCATGGGTTTCTCGTAGTTCCTTTCTCTCCTCACCAGGCCCCCATCACTTTGTGCTTCTCCTTGAGCTCTTTGGCTCAAGACGTTCTCCTCAATGTCCTTCTGTCCTTCCTGTCAGTGTCCTCTGACTCCAAGTCTCTCCCTTCACCTCCCTGGGCCCTGCCAAGCCTCCAGACCTTGGCCCTCCTGTCAGGACCTTCAATCCCCATTTAGCTCTGACCCCCAGGTCTGGACCTTTAGTCTTTCTCCTGCTGAGAACTTTCATTCTTTCCCCAAGCCCCAGGGCTCCTGTCAGAGTGAGCTGCATAGAGCCCTGGAACGGTTGGCTGCCTCACAGAGCCGCACCCACGAGGACCTCTACATTATCCCCATCCCCAACTGCGACCGCAATGGCAACTTCCATCCAAAGCAGGTAGGTTTCCCTCTCCTACTGGCCCGGCCCCAGCCTCAGCTCCAGGGACTTTCTTGGCCTTTATACAGGGTAGTCCGGGATGGAGATCTTAGGAAGTGGGAACCTACCCAATCCAAACCTAACCCCTTGAGCCGTCCCCAAATCCTACACCAGCTTCAGAACCTTAGCTCATTTTGTCCACCCACTCATTTCAAAGGCTTCGGAGGTCCCGAGAGAGGAAGAATCACAGAGTGAGTTAATTAAGAGTAGATCTGGGGCTAGAACTTACCAGCCTGCCTCCCCATCTAGTGCTGTTTCCACCACCTTTAGACACACCATCTGTGGTGTAGACCTTAGCTCTTCTGGCTCTCCCTGCTCTCACTCACCCTACTTGGTTCTTATGAATAGTTGAGGTTTTATCATGGAATGGAAGGGCCAAGTTATGAGAAATCAGAGAGGAACCTTGGTCTGCCCAAACTAAGCAGCAAAATCACCTGGGGGGACTCCCAGTAAGGAGAAGGTGAAGGCAGAGCTAATAGAAGGAGACAGGGATTTGGGGTGGAAGTAGAGGAAGGAGGCAACCATGAAAAGACATGAAGGCAGGATTGTCCATATTTACTGATAAGCTTGTTGCACTGGGCTCCCTGAAAGGCTTCCATGAGCCTGGAATGTTCAGTAAGGTTGGCCGGCTCCAACTGTCTCTCTGATCTTTCAGGATTGGGCCCACCTGAGGGGATGGCACATCTAGGCAGGATTCTGAGGTGTCCTGTGCAGGATATGGCCTGGGGAGCCCTGACTCAGATGTCCTTCTCTAGGTCTTTGTGTTCATAGACCCCCCCGCCCCCCACTGTCCCTTCCATGCCCTACAGACAAATCCTCTAAGTGAGCTGCCACTGGGTTAGCTGGGAGGAGGAGAAAGACTGCCTCTGCATCTGCACATCCCACGTTGGCATGAGAAGGTGGTATACAATCAGTAGAGAAATGGAGAGGACCCCCAGAACCAATGCTGAGCCTGTCTCCAACCTTTAGCTCAACATCAGTTTTATGCTTATCCCGATTTTTATCCCAGTGAAAATTCTGACACGTGACTATCCCCAGACCAAGTTTCTCCCTGAATCCAATCTTCATTCCAACTCTAACATTGATTTTGAAATTCACTTTTGCCCCCTACCTCTTCTAATTCCAAGTGTTAGTCCAATAAAGTCAGTTGTTCTGACTTGACCTCAGTCTTTACCCTAACTCTATTTATGACCTACACTCTACTTCTCACCCAACTCAAGTTCTAGTACTAATTCCCAGGTCAACTGCAACTCTGATCCTGATCCTAACCTTAACTCAACTTGGATCCCCTTGCTCTTAACTGTAATCCCATTCTGAATCTCCCAAACCCAATCAGAACACATACTTGAAGTTGCTCAAAACTGAACCCTGGGTTTCCAAATCCAGCTGCATCTCCTCAAGCTGGGCTGCAGAACCCTCTGAGGGTCCTTCTTCCAGAAACTGTCTGGATCTTCCTTTCTCGGCCAACTTCTCTTTACTACAGCGAGCTCAGGGAACTCATAATCCAGAAGGAATCGCAGCCCTCATACGCCGTCATGGAACAGATATTTGCCTTGGAAACTGGTCTGGGATTGAGGCAGGCTGCTTGGATATCTCTTTTTCTGCCTGGGAACTGACCACTAATATTCTTGTCTTGACAGTGCCACCCGGCCCTGGATGGACAGCGTGGCAAGTGTTGGTGTGTGGACCGGAAGACGGGGGTGAAGCTTCCGGGAGGCCTGGAGCCGAAGGGGGAGCTGGACTGCCACCAGTTGGCTGACAGCTTCCGCAAGTGAAGCCCTGTCAGCAGGCAGGGAGCTCAGTGCCCCCCTGCTACCCCTGTCCCCTGGAGGCTGCAGAGCTGACCTAGAGCCTGGGTCTTAGTCCTGGCTCTGCCTCTGGCCTAGAAAATTTCCCTCGGGGTATGTGTGTGTGTGCATGTGTGTGTTTCGGGGCATGAGTGTGCCCTTGGAGTGAGCCAGAGCCAGGGGGTGCCCTCTTTGGGCTTAGGTAGCTGGAGAGGTCTAAGAGTGGAAATAAGGAGACCTATTGTGTTTCCAAATTAATCTTGCACTCATTCATTCATTTATTCAGCCTGCCAGCCAGCTATCTAAAAACATTTATTGGCCACATACTACATGCCAGCTCTAGTTTTCAGTCCTGGGGGCTCTTATTCTGATTTCCTGATTTGGGCATGTGGGGGCCACTCCTATAAGGTGACTGCAGGCTTGTGGGAGGAAGCCTGTATTCCAGAATCACAAGAGTAGGTAGATATGAATTTAGGCCATGGCTCCGCCTCAGTCTAGTCAGAGGGGAGGGGCTATAGGGCTAGCAGGTGGTTCAGTGGTTATGAGACCCAGACCCACATCCAAAGCTAAGGCCTGTTGGGCTTCCCTTCTCTCCTTCCCCAGGCCTCTCCAGGGGTAAGGACCTGCACAGATAAGCACACCTTTAGGTCAAGGTGGGGTGCCATCTATTTGGTTGCTTGGCAGCTGAGAGCTTGGGGAGGGGGAAAGAAGAGGATCTGAAGAAGAGGACAGAGGACCAGGGAGATGAGGCTCATCTCTGAGCAGTTAGGGTTGGAGGGAAGAGTTCACCATCAGATCAGACTGAATGTGCATAATGGAGTAGAGACCCCACAAAGCAGGGGGATGAGGGAATCATGGGGTCCTGCTCTCTGGCCCATTTGTGGTCACAGCCATGGAGTCACCAAATGACTCTCCTTCCGGTGGTTCCCACCCGTGGCTCTGCCTCCCTCCCTCCCCTCTTTTCCCTGCACACCCTTCCCCACCACACTTCTTCCCTGGGCATTTTCTGGCTTGATTGTATGGAAGGAGATTTAGGTTCCTTCTAGTTGGAATGTCTTTCTTTTCTTTTTCTTCTTCTTTTTTTTAACAAAACAGAACAAAACCAAAAAATGTCTCGTCAACTGTGTTTTGTTGATTTATTTACAATTAAGTGACATGAATGACAAATTAGTATAATGGACTAATAGGTCACATGAAGCACAGCCTGAGACCAGCAGAACTAGATGGTGCCCAGCTACCACTTCTTTGATTGGGATCACAATAGAAGATCCTACACAGAGTGGGAGGAAAATGTAAAACAAAATTCAGTATCATAAGAAGGACCAGACTTACAGGTTTGATAGAGATGGTGGAATGCTGGAGACATGGTCCTTAGTCATCTTCAAACCTGGAACACAAACCACTCTCAGTGATCACCTTTCAGCCTAGCAATAAGTCTATGAAGTATGCCCCTCAGAACAACCAACCAAAGGAGACAAAAAAGTTTGCCCAAAAACAAAGTTCAAAAATCAGGAAGGGGCAGAAAAGATGGGTGCGTGGGAATGGGAAGGAAGTGGGAAGAGGGCTGTTTCATTGAAGGGATTGCAATTAATGCTGTGAATCATAATGTGTATAAATTGTTGAATAGGAAATGAATTTACCCAAATCACAATAAAATGCTAAAAACAAAACAGAAGATAGGAATGCACCAGGGAAAGAAAAAAAAGGCACAGTTATGGGGAGGTGGGTACTGTGGTCTTCCTACCTGCCCTGTATAGGAAAAGGGCTACAAAGGGCAAATTCATCCTTCTCTTCCTGGGTAACCTCTTCTCCAACCTCAACATCTATGGGGTCTGTGCTCAGACCTCTGGTGGGCAAAAGAGTGTTGTTGTTATGTGCCGTGGAGTCTGTTCTGACTCATAGCAATCCTGTACAGGGTTTCCGAGGCTGTAAATCTTTACGGGAGCACAAAGCCTCGTCTCTCTCCCGCAGGGCAAATGAGTAAGTGGGGATAAAAGGGCTGATTTAGGGAGGTGGGAACTGTGTGGTCCCCCGACCTGCCTGGCCTGGTAAAAGGATTGCAAAGGGTTGGGCTTGCATCTGGATTTGATTTCTTAACTTTATGTGTGTGTGTGGTGTGTGGGGGAGGGCACTGTCCTGCAGTTGGGGGAAGGGGATAAGCTCTCCAGTACATTCCACAGCTCTGACTGCCTAGACTCCTGACTGGGGGTTGTGCTGACATTTTCTTCTGAGGAGTTGGGGTGGGGGCAACCTTGACCTTGTTGGGCTCACTGTTGGCTCTGAGTGCCAGCCGCGGCCTTACACTTTGTGTCCATGCGGTAGGACACTTGCTCTTGCTGACGAGGGACATCTGGTCTTCGGATTGGGGTCCCTTCCCTGGAGGTCACAGGCAGCCTAGAACTCTGTGAACCCAGTGTGTGGTCCTCTGGGGAACCCCTCATGTCTGGCTGTCTCCAGATTCTCCATCCCCTCCCCAGTTCCAGAGATGCTCCTGGAGTTCTTGATTTCACTGGGTCCGGACTCACTGATACCTGTGTGGTTTACAGTATGAATAGAAGACCCCAATCTCCACCACCCTAATTTTGGAGCTGCAGCATCCTGTAGCCATCTGGTCTCCCAGAGGCAGGAGATAAGGAACAAAGTGATGCTGAGGATTGTTCCCTCAGCCTCCTGGTTTCTCTATATAGAACCTCTCCTGGGGCTGAGGCCAAGGCATGTGTTGGGATGGGAGCTGGGTGCAGCCCGAAGATGCAGTTCTACTTCCCTAAGCCAAATATAGAGAAAGGATCACTTTCAGTCCTCCTGGTCTCCAGTCGCTCTTCTCTATGCTCTAGCCTTGCACCCTAGGCAATGGGTGATAGGAGCTTCTTTCCATTCCTGGGTTTTGTGTATAGTACAAAGGCAAAACTTAGGCATACATGTGTTATACATGTATTTGTGGTATGTGTTTGTGCAGCAAAGAAGTATCTGAATTGTGAGTGAGAGTGTAGGCGTTTCCATGGTATAACATGTCAGTCTGTATGTGTATGGAGGAGATGTGTGTTAGTGTGGTGTGTAGACAGGGGCTGTATGAATCTGAATGAGTGTGTTCCTGAGAGTAAATTTCTGTATGTGTTGTGAGGAGAGAATGACCCGTTCAGAGAGGATGTTTCCCTCTCCACTGTGAATGAGTGGGCCTCATTTTTAGATGTCTTCACTGTAGAGTTTGGATGGGGCTGTCTAGCATCAGAGAATAGAGGACATGTACCTTTGAGAAGGGAACTCCACATCTCACAAAACACACCACACCCCTATCATTAACCCCCAAAAACCCTGGAGCCCAGATCCCAAATGCCAAATAGAAGGAAATGCAAGCAACTCCATCCTTCACGGGGCTCCAGGCAGTAACCCGCCTTGGTAGTATCCCCCAGTCAGTTCACACTGGGAGGACCGGACTCCAGACAGGTATCGCTGAACTGGTTTGCATCTAGTTTCCCCTGCGTTGGCCTCTAATAGCCTTGCATGGCCAATCTAGATTCCACAGGGATAGAAGAAGAATGGAGAAGGGGAGGACCACATTCTTATGTCCTGATTGGGACCATCATACCTGGAAGAATTCCAGAACTGAAGTCCTTGAGTACACTCTGCCCTGCCTCCCCCAGAAATGCCATTCCCCAACACTGTGGCCTGGATGAGGGAGATGGGGCACCCTGCCAGGATCCCCTAGCCCAGTGGAGCCAGTCTACATCAGACATTTGGTTTCCATTTCTCAGCTCATTAGAAGAGATTAGCTAGAGTCCCCCTGTCGGCTGAGGGTTGGGGGCTGGGTTTTCCACTGGCAAGAAGGCAGGGTGAGGGTGGAGAGAAAAAATGGAATCTTGGACTGAGTTCTATGTTTGATTCAGGTAGGGGAATGTCTGGAGAGCTGGCCTCTCCCTTATTAGACTCCAGAGGTCTGGCCACTGCAGTCCCTTCAACTCCTTCCAGGAAAAGGTTGGTTGTCCTAATCCCCTCTGCCCTCTGGGCCAGATTCTGCCACCAAGCTGCTCCAGGAATGTTATAAGGTATGCAAGAGTTGGGGGCCAGCTCGATCTCCCTTTCTGGGGGTATATGGCTGTGTGGTAAATGACCCTGAAACATTCCTAGTCAGAGAAACCCCCACCACCACCTGCATTCCAGACCCCTGTGGCAAATATCACCTCTGACCTGGAAACAAAGTCAAGATGCTGTGATTGGATGGAGCTGAGAGGCAGGCTGGAGATGGTGGGTTACCACAGGGAGGAGGGAAGGAAGGAGCAGTTTGTGAATCAGGAGGGCAGTGGGGAAAAGGTACATTCAAGTGGGGAGGGGGAGATATTGGGGGCAGAGTGGAGGATTGGGCACACCCGGGAGAGCAGACAAGACTCCAGCCAGCCAGGGGTCTAATTAGATCCTTACTGTCAGAATGACCTGTCCCCTGTAAGTCTGAGGCCCCAGGGGCTTCAGGAAGGCAGGGTCAGAGAGTAGAGGGGGTGGGGCTGCTGCAGATAATTGGAAACACATTCTACTGAGTGAGCAGGCGGCTTCACCAGGCTCCTCACTCCCCCTTCTCTTCCCCAGGCCCCCAAACCCCTTCCCCATGACCTGGACAATTCCAACCAGACTAAGGGAGGGGCTGGTGGTGTCTGGGAGGAGAAGCCTGGTGGGATTGGCGTCCTGGGCCCAAACACAGTCTCTAAAGGGCAAACAACATATTTTCGCCATGCAATGGTATTTAATTACACATAAAAACAGAGCCATTAAACTGAAATTAAACCCGTGTTGGAATCACTTAATTCAGGGCATGACAAATTGCTTTCAGTGGAGGCAGCAGGGCAGTCCCCTGGGGAAGAGATGGAGTTTAGCAGCTTCCATGGCTGGCTGGGTCCCCGCTTTCTGTTGGCCTGCCTGCCAGCTCTAAAGTCTGAAGCCCAGGTCAGAACCTTCTTGCTAAAGACCACCCAAGCCAATGGGAAGCTCCTAGATTTGTT